GCATAAACAGTCCTTCTTTCTCCCATGATTGATCTCTTCAAGCAATTTCTTAACTTCAGTTTTTATTTGTTCTGTTCCCTACTCGTTTGTAAAGAGGCTGTTATTCCGTTTCCATGTGTTTGCTCTTTTTCCTTTCATCTTCCATTGTTGATTTCTAATTTGATAGCATTGTGATCTGAGAAGATGCTTTGCAGTATTTTAATGGTTTTCAATTTATTAAGGCCTATTTTGTGGCCTAACATATGATCTATCATGGAGAATGTTCCATGTACAATGGAAAAGAATGTCTATTGTGCTGCTTTTGGGTGAAGTGCTCTGTACATGTCTATAAGGTCATGTTGGTGGATTGTTTAGTTTAGTTCTTCTGAGTCTTTGTTGAGTTTCTTTCTAGTTGTTCTATCTTTGAAAGTGGTGTTTCTAAGTCTCTTACTATGACTGTGGAGTCATCTAGTTTTCTTTTCAATTCTGTTAAGTCTGATATTTATATTTTGGGACTCTTTCTTTGGGTGCATAAATAATTATTATAGTTATATCTTCTTGTTCAATTAGTCCTTTAATCATTACATAATGTCCTTCCTTGTGTCTTATGGTGATTTTTTTCTTAAAGTCAATTTTATTAGAAAATAGTATTGTCACTCCTACTCTTGAATGCTTGCCATTTGCTTGATATATGTTTTTCCAACCTTTGATTTTTAGTCTTTTTTTGTCTTTGTCTCCAAGGTGTGTCTGCTGTAGACAGCATATTGGTGAGTTATGTTTCCTTGTCCAGTCTGCAACTCTCTGTCTCTTGAGTAGTGAATTGAATCCATTGACATTCAGTGTAATTATTGACAAGTAGGAATTTGTTGCTGTCATTTTGTTATGTTTTTTTTTTTTTTTTTTTTGTGGTGTTGCTGGTTTCTTTGTTCCATATGATTTTCTGTGCTGTGCTCATTTTGTTTATGAATCGTTATTGTTTGGTTTTTGTTGTTGTTTTCAGTTCTCTGTCCATAAGACCCCTTTGAGCATCTCTTGAAAGATTGGTCTGGGTTTAACAAGTTCCCTTAATTTCTGCATATCTGAAAATGTCCTAATTTTACCATCCTATTGAGGGATAATTTTGCTGTGTATCTAATTCTTGGATTTGAGATTTTTCTCTTTCAGAGTTTATATATGCTATCCCATTGTCTTCTCGCCTGAATGGTTTCTGCCAAGAAATCAGAGCTTAGTCTTATCGGTTGCCCTTTACCTTTTGTTTTTCCCATGTTGTTTTCAGGATTCTTTCTTTGTCTTCAGTTTTGGTGAGTTTGATGATGGTATGTCTTAATGGATATATCCTCATCTTTCATCATATCAGGGAAATTCTCTTCCCCCATTTTCTCTGTAGTTTTATTTGTCTCTTCCTGTTCTGGCATTCTGACTACACTTAGATTATTGCTTTTGATGAAATCGTACATGAATCTTAGGCTTTCTTCCTTCTGTTCTGATCTTTTTTTCTGATTGATCTATTTCCAAAGAAGTATTGAGGTGTTTGTCTTCACTCTCACTAATTCTCTTTTCCATTTATTCGATTCTACTGCTTTGCCCTCTGAATGTGTTATCCCTTTCTGAAAATTATTATTAATCTGGATTTACATCTGTAGATTTTGTATCATTTCTGATTTTACATATATTTTGTCATTTCATTATCTTTGTTTTGTTTGGATGTTTCTGAGTAAGCTGAGTACTCTACACCTCTGTTTGCTAGGTGGTAGCACTGGTCACCTTGTGGGTGTGCTAGAGAAGGAGAGTGGCTGCATAGACCTCTGTGACTTCTTGTGAAGAGCAGTTAAAGGTGAGTAGGCTCATATTGGCTTTCATGTATCAGTTGCCAGTTGGACCAGAGAAAGTTATGGCCCTGACCTAGTAGGTAGGGCTGTGGGAGGTGTGGGTATGGTTGGGTCCTGTGGGCATGATTGCTGTCTCCCACTGAGTTAGAGAAAAGCAACAATTGAAAAACATCAAAAAAGTAAAAACAAGTGAAAGAAAAAGCACACACCACATAAACACACAGGAACAATCACCAAGTAGAGAAAAAAAAAAAAAATAGAGGAAAGGCAATAAATGAAATGAAATATGTAAAGAAATACTTAAAAAAGGACCAAAGATATATGAATAAAAAAAGAGAGAAAAAGCTCTACAATAAGTGTGGAAGAGAGAATAAGAGAAAAGAACTAACATAAGAAAAAAATGGGAAAAATGAAAGAAGAAAAATAGGAATGGGGAGAACCACAAGGAAAAAAAAAGTGGCAAAGAGGAAAAGAGAATGGAACAGATGCTAAAAACTAGAATCTAAGAAGGGAAGAAGAAAGAGAAAAAGTAAAAAGGAAGAAGAAGAATAAAAAGAATAATTTTAAAACAGTAATGATAAAAAAAATCTGCAGTTTGCAGGGCAGGGCAACCAGTCTCTGTCAAAGCACACAAACTGGGATGGAATTTCTGCCTACCCAGAAGGAGGTTGGAGGTGAAGGATGGATGCACATCTGTTCACCAACAGGGTGTCAGGTTTAAGAGCAATAAGAGGAATATCACACCTTACCATTTCTCAGCCTCCAGTATGTTCATACTGTCCTTGGCAAGTGGCGGCTATACTTTGGTTCTTGGAATCTGAGAGAACACTGTAGCTTTAAATATGCAAAGTGGCTGAACCACTTGTAAACATTCAAAGTGGCTGTACCCTCCAGACAGCCAAAAGTCCACAGAGCTCAGTTTGTCTTCTTTTCTGTTTCCCTTTTCAGTCATCAGCCACCAGTGTAGTCCTCTGTTCAGTCCTTGGCAAGCAGGGCTGATTTCTAGGTTAATTCTTAGCTCCTAACACTGCTTGGAAATATCCAAACTGTCTGTGCCGTGAGGATCGCCAGCAGTCCACAAGTCTGTTTGTCTCCATATTCACTGTTTTCATGCAGGTTCTTCTACTAGTTGGAGTTAACTCCACTTCCATATCCTTCCTTTCAAAGCTCAGGGCTTCAGGATTATCATCTGTATCTGTGTCAGTTGGTTTTTGTTTTCTTTATTGAAGAGTGTGTGTGTAGTTTGTCTGCCTTTCCCACTATGTCATTGGAACTCTCACCACAATTTGTTTTGAAGTTTGATGTGTGTATTTGCCTCGGTACCAGGGATAAACTGGAATCATTATGCTGAGGAGGCCAACCGATAAGGTTCCTGCCTAGTGATGGCTTGGAATCTTCTGTGATATGGCTTTTCTGAAATCACACCTGAACTTGGAATAAAATCAGAACTTGCAGAAGAGAGCATTGTGGTTGGAGGGAACATTGGTGAGTTCCATGGGGTTTCCATGTTGGGAATCAGAGCTTCTGAGAGGAGTAGATGGAGAGCTCAGGCCAAGCACACCTGGATTTGAGCAGTTTATCAAGGGTTGTAAGATAAGTACTTGAAAATTCAGAGTAAAGAGGAGAGATGTCTTCGTCCCTTAATCTGAGGTCTCTTATTTATTTATTTTCCCATCTGTCCCTTCTTGCCTAGGTCACTTCCAGAACTTCTCCATCCAGTGCCCAATTATGGACTTTGTCACACATGAGGCACCTTCCAGGCACCAAATTCCCACACCAACACAAACACCCACTGCTCTGAACAAGGGATCTATGCAAGTGCCCAAGCAGGAAGATAACTGATGCCTCAGCCCTTCATATCCTGCTCACAATCCAACTGTGCACAGTTGAGGCCCTCCATGGGCTGCCATCCACCTTATCCCATCTCTTCTTTTCTTAGGCTTTATTGTTGCTGTGTGATGCAGGTTTACTTTTGTTTTTAAGGAACTATTGGAAATGTAAGTATAAGACTAAATCTGCCTATATTACACACGGAATTTCAGCCATGTGTTGGGAAGGTGAGGGCACAATGCTTGTAGAGTGCTCCTGGAATATGCAAAAGGTGGGTGAGGTCAGTATCCCCTTGACCATAGCAGGATGGACTTTCCCAGTCTGCTTGGACAAAACGCTTTCCTACAGAGAAATATGGCAGAAAGATTTCTGTGCTCCCTGCTTCTTTCATAGCTCATCCATATATACCATTTAAAGAAATCCTCCTGATTGTATTTTCAGCACACTCTGTCTTATTCTGTCCTCATCAGAATTCAGAAATAGTAGATTTATTAAATGGTGATTGAATGGTTATTGAATGGTTATTGAATGGTTGCCCTGAGAATTAATGATGCCCTTTTCTAAAGTGAATGTGTAGAAGCAGAGAGCCATGTCTGCAAGAAGCCAAGCCTTTTCTTGTTAGATCAAAGCAGCTACACAAAAAGAGCCTTAGTGTGGTGAAGATCATTTAAGGCTTTTTGTTCAGCCTCTTTTAAGGAAGCAGAAAAAAGCATCTTAGAGAAAAGTGCTGTCTCTGGGCTCAAATATGGAGACATTAGTTAATGGCCAAGAAGGTTGAAAGGTGGCCAAGTAATATTCCATTAACAGATTGTTAAGAGACAAAGATAATGATAGGATACCCACAGAAAACTCCCCCAATCAAGTCATGGCTTGTGATAAAGGGATGATGAAAGTGATCACTGGGGATTTATCAGTGACCTGTGGCAGGCCAAAGCCAGACTGTCCCCAAGAGCATTCTGAGGACTTCAGTGTAAAGCTGAGGGAAGAACTAGGTCATTCACTTGTGTATCTGGAGAACTGGGGACACCCATTGTCCCAGCACCATAATCCATCCAGCAGCAGAGGAGAACCAGAAGAATGAGGCAATGTGAATTTCTTCAAAAAATGAATTTTCTTTAATCCAGTTTTACAGAGGACTTTTGTAGGTTCTTGTTATTTATTTCCCACCACAGGTGTCCCTCTGTACCCTGAACAGACTATGACCTTCCTCTGTACCCTCACCGTGTCTGTACAAGAGCCAAGACACACTGCCTGGATAGGTGGGGAGCACTGGCCTAATGATAAGGGAAGGGCTGAAAATTCAAATGTACTGTGGGGTGCACAACCTGAGGTTCTGTCTGACACATGGAAGAAGAGAGCTCATTAGTGGCTAAAATGACGCTTCTTTGGTTGGACCCCATCCACAGCTAAGGGTAGCTTCTGAGAGACTCCGGGAGCAGTCCGTGAATAGGGCCTCTTTTTAGCAGAAGATGGGGCTCCAACTTGAGTTGGCATCTTAGACTCAGTAGTTGTATATGCAGGCTGGCTAAGACACACTGTCTCAGGAGATAGGTACTGGGAAGCTTGCCAGCAGCCCTGAACTCCATGGTGGACAATGCCTGAGGCATGTGGAGGACTCTTGGGGAAACCCCAGGGCAGTAGGCTTTGTTGAGATGCCAAGAGGAAGGCAAGGTTGGGGAGTTCCTCCTCTGTGTCCTCTTCCTCATTGGACACATCTCTTTTCCCAGGTGTTTCATGAACAGGAGAGGTTTCAATAAACATTAAGTCATATCTGGTTCTCAGTCTAGGGGAAGTACGACTATGGCCTTGGTGAGGAGAGGTTAATTGTGCAGACTTAACTTTGTGTGACTTTTGACTGCATGTAAAGAGACCAAGTTCTTTTGACTTGTACAGATTACTGTCTCCTGTACCATCTTTTGGCAGGCCATGTGCAGTCAACTTTTTTGTGCCCATTTCCTTGCTGATCTCTAGTTGTAGGCCATGGTTGTCTCTGCTCCCTGAATCTTGACTGGTCTCAGAAGCCTTAGAAATTGGCTCCAGTTGGGGCACATCATAGCTTGGGAGTGCCTCCACACCCTCTTTGCCTTTCAACTCCACTACTCGTTTCTCTACCAGCTGCAAGGAAAGAAAATGGATGGTTACTGGCTGTGTACAAGTTGTGAGAACACATGGCTAAGCATGTTGGCAGAGATCCTAGTATTAGGGCAGGATTCAGGAAAGTCAGTCACATGACTGGTTTTGGTTACTGATACTGCAGCTCTTCCTCCCCATCCTCATGTGCCATATTGCTAATCTTTGATTCCTTACCACTCATCCTCTAGGCCTCTCCATAGTCTCACATCTCCTAGTTCTGCACTTGCTCCCACACATGCAGATGTCCTTCCCCAAAACTCATGCTAGCCAAGGCACTATAGGTTTGAATCATGCTGGCTTCATGTTCTGATTGTCCCGGCCTCTTCTTTCACCTGGGTGAGAGGGAGTCCTTCCTCTTGCTCCAGCTCCTGAGTTAAGGACAAAAGATCCACCTGTGGTTCTGGTGACAGTAATGTTTCCAGGAATTGAGGGTGAATAACTGCTTCTACCTGATAAAGGAAAGAGGTGATATGTGAACTTCCTTGACAAGTAGTAAGTAGTGATCTAGAAAGGAGCTCTGGTAGCATGGTGCCTAAGGCATTTGGCTGCTAACCAGAAGACTAGTGGTCCAAACCTATCTGAAGGATCTAAAAATCAATCATTAATTCCCCACTTGAGTTTGCACATGATGGTGCTCATGGCACTGTGGTTAAAGCATTGACGTGCTAACCAACAGATCAGAAGTTCGACCCCCCTAGCCACTTTGTGGGATCAAGTCTGCTTCAGTAAAGATTTATAGAATGAGAAATTGTGTGGGGCAATTCTATCCTTACGAGTCAATGACAGTGGCTTTGATATAGTTTGGATTGAGTTTTCACTCAGTGTTGTATTTGAAAGAGTCCTGATGGTGCATCGATTAAAGCGCTCAGCTACAGACCAAAAAGTTGGTACTTCTCAGGGTAAAGATGGGAGAGTACACTTCATAAGGATTTACAACCTTGGAAACGCTAAGGGCAGTTCTACTCTGTCCTGTAGGGTCTCTGAGTTGGAATTGACTTGATGGCAGGGGCTCCTGGATTAGGTTGGTTGTTTTAAAATGTCACCACACCAGTCTATATGCACACACATACAGGCACACACACACAGAAATGAAGACACACATTGACTGGGGGAATAGGTAATGGAGCTTAATTACAATGTCCTGGGGCTGAGCCCCAGATGTTTGAGGTTGGGAGTGCCAAACCTTTGAAACCTATAGACTCCAGAACAACAGGCCCAGCCCACCTTAGTGACAAATGCTTCCTGCGAACACAGCTTTTCAATGTAGCCTAGGAGTCCTGAGTCAGGGTATAGTGCATTCTCTTCCTGCTGCTGCTTATTTTCTTCTTCTTCCCATTTTCCATCTTGTTCTTCAGTGATGGAATGGGTAGGTCCCTGCAGCCTTTCCATTATGTCAAGATACTCATTCACAGCTTCAGGAGGGATCTGCCTGTGTGCCTTGAGCCTCTGTGGGCACTGGGGTCTGTGTGGCTGCTGGTTGGAGAGCTGTGGCTTGACATCTCCTTTCTTCAGAGTGAGCACTAGAGGAAGGGTTGGAAGTGAGGTGGTGGATGTGGCAGCAAACTCTAGTTCTTCCCACCCAATCTTAGGTTATAAGAGCCAGATTTTGGTGCTACTGAAATGATTCTAGGTGGGTTGGCCAACCTGAAGCCACGAGAATGGTGAGAGATATAAAGGATAGAAGGTCTAAGAGTCATTTTGTGAGGAAGTTTTTAGAACATCTGCTTTTCCTAGAAATTCTCCCATTTGGACCTGCTTTTGAAGCTCAGTAGGAGCTCTGGTGGTGTAGTGCCTATGGCATTTGACCGCTAACCAGAAGGCTGGCGGTTCAAACCTACCAGGCACTGCTTGGAAGGAGGATTGGGCAATCTACTTCTGTAGTATGATACTGCCTCTGAAATCCAAGGAGGGGTTGCTATGAGTTGGATCCAACTCAATGGCAGTGAGTTTGGTTTGTTTTTGGTTTATACAGTGATTAGATATTGAATCCCACCTTTGATACTCCATGTGAGACAATAGCCATGAAAGTTGACCAGCTTACTATCTAGTGTGTAGTGAAGAGTAGCTGAGATCCCAGGCTCTTAGCAGGCTCTTAGTCATTTCCCTCTCTTGAAAAGGAAGTACCAGATATAAAGACATTGGCCTTCCCTAAACATTCTCTACTTTGGCCTTTGACCTCTGTACGTTAGCTCCTGTTGCAAATTCAGTAGGCATACCTGGGTGACAGGTGACTACAGTGCCTGAAAGCTCATGCCGATCAAGGTTCTGAGAAGCTGGAGGTGGCACGCATGGGGACCCATTTCCCTGCTGCAGCTTCTGAATCTGCATCTCCTCCTCTAACTCAAACTCCATGAACCTGACAAGGGTGAGAGAGGCACATGCTGTTCTCAGAAGAAGGCAATGCTTACTGGAAGCCCCAGCACCAGGCAGCAGCTTATTACCTGGAAGCTGGAAAAAATGTGCCTTTAGTGGCCTAACAAGATGCTGAATAAGTCCATTTCCCTGGAGGGAGTTGCTCTCAAAGCAACAAATAAGTTTTGGGGCCCATTACAATGTCACTACTTCATTCTTTCACCTGTAGCAAAACTCATCTTACCTTAGGAAGGTTGTGAAGGAAAAGGGCCATGTCTTCTTGGACACGTCTTCAGACAGACGCATAGATCGCAATTCCTTTTCATACCCTTAGCATCTGATGGCATACATACTGCAGTACTGACACTGTTGTTGTTGTTGATGTTGTTGTTTGCCGTCGAGTCGGCCCCGACTCATAGCGACCCCTCCTTGGGTTTCCGAGGCAGTATCACTATGGAAGTAGGATTGCCCAACCTTCCTTCCGAGGAGTGGCTGGTGGGCTTGAACCTCCAGCCTTCTGGTGAGCAGTCAAGTGCCTTAGGCACTATGCTACCAGAGCTCCTTCACACTAGCTTTTTAAATTTGATCATGCCTGTGTGACACACAGCACGACTACAATGGTGGACCTTCCTACTCCATGCCTATCCTGACACTGCCAAAAAAACACAGGAGAGCTGATGGTCTGAACCTGGGAGATGGGGTGCCATTGATTGCAGATACCCCCAGGGAGCAATTCCCAGATCCCTGGTGCTAGTCTTGGGCTTTGTGCCCTTGACCTATAAATCAGGGAGATACTGGTCCAGGAGGTATTGTGAAGAAGGTGAAAGCTATGATTTCAGGAAATTTTTCTGACTGCTCTGATTTTTTTTTGTAAACCAAGAATGGAAAGGCAGTATGTGGTAGAGACTGATCCACAAGTTCAATGAGCTTCTGTTGTTCCTGCAAGAAAGCTTTCCAGCCCCAGCTCATTCTTGGATGGTGGTTGAACAATTTTTTGCCAGTTGTCATGAGGAGGTGTGGGACGTCCTAAATTCTCTGTCAGCTGCCAGGACACTGAGGCAAGCAGGAATCTGGCTGGTACATCATATCCCCTCACTGTAGAGTCCCGACAGGTTGGGCCTGCATGATCTCCATTGGAACCTGTGGTGTTTATCTCAAACCCCATCTTAACACCCTCAACATCAAATCACTCACAAACCCATAATCCATAGAGGAATGTACTTCTGGAAGAAGGGATTACAGAAACCTCCAAACAGTGAATGTGGTGGTGGAAATTGAGTGTAAGCATGGATCCGCAGGGATCCAAGAGACCATGCCTAGTGCACAGATGTCCCTCATTACATCCCCCACCCATTTGCACCAACACAGCCAGACAGCAGCCACTCTCAACCCACACCCATAGTGCCTTGCCACTCATCCCCCATAGGACCAGGATCCCATGAACTCACTTTCCTGCCATCTCGTAGAAGATCATCCGGTCAAAGTTGCTTTTGTGCTGCCATTCCTGCACAGACCACCACAGTCCTTCCTCCAGGGTCATGGAGGGTTTCATTCGGGCTAGTGATCTCAATACTGGGCTAAAACCACATGAATATCAATAGTTTTCTACAAGTATATTTTCCATCCTCATCTTGACCATACCCCTACAGATATCCCTTGTTCCTTGTCACATCTACCTTACTATTTGTCAGTGTCTATTTCCCATTCTAGTATTTACTCTTAGATTTTTATTGCTTTATTTCTAGGATAACACTCAGAGAGCATCAGAACTATCCTGAGATGGATTCATGAGAGGAACATCCTAAAGAAAAGGATATTCTTGACTCCTCAGTTTCATTGTGGACAGAATAATCTACCACAGCACATTAAAATGCAGATTCCATGATACAGTCTACTAAACTAAAAAAAAAAAAAAAACCTCACTGCAGTCAAGTCGATTCCGACTCATAGCGAACACCTTTGAGTCTCTGAGGCGTTAAGTCTTTATGGAAGTAGATTGCCCAGTCTTCCTTTTGTGAGTGACTGGTGGGTTTGAGCCACCAGCCTTCTGGTTAGCAGGTCAAATGCTTTAGGCACTACACCAGCTTCCTAGATGACTCTGGAGTGGAGGGCCCACCATTTGTCAAACATTTCCCAGAGCCGCAGAGTGTGAAGAGGGACAGTTCTGCTTAAAACCTAGGGTGAAGAGAGCCCATGGTACTTGAGGGAGACATGTGCTGCCTCAAGATTGCATTGGACACTGATCCAACAAGGAACACAGGGTTGTCTGAGAATTCATGGAACCTCCAAGATGGCTTAAAAGTGGGATTCTATGGACTTCTATCTATTTTCTTGGGAGGTGTAGTTGGCTGGTGTGCATGAGTGGAGTGGTCGGGGGGCAAGCAAATTCCTCAGTCATTCACCCATTGGGGGAGGAGCATATATATAGAAAAATGTCCTGTGATATGGGATATGTGTTCGATACTAGTTGATTCCAAATGATGGAAGGGAAGAGGAGTGTTGACAGGAATGTAGGGTCTGTTGTGATAAAGCTTCCCAGATGAGTAATCTCTCTCCCTTCCATTCACAGAATGCCATGGCCTTGGATGTCATGGCCTATTGTTCACTCACACACCCCACAGCTAGGACATGTTGACTTTTGTGAGGACTTTTCTTGTATTAGAATCCTTCATGGCGCTTTGGTGAAAACATTCATTTGTTAGCCAAAGGGTCTGTGGTGTGAACTCACCAGCCACTCTGAGGGAGAAAGATGCGGTCAGCTTCCCTAAAGATCTACAGCCTTGGAAAGCCTATGGGGAAGTTCTACTGTGTCATGTAGAGTCACTAGGAGTCAGAATTGACTAGATGTCATTGGGTTTTGGTTTTCTTGTACTACATTGCCTTTCCTTCATAACAGTGACAACAATGAACATTCCTTAATGTGGCACCCCGTGTGTTAGGCAGTCTGCTGAGCCCTTCATTTATTAGCTCATGTCATCTCCTTAGCATTCCTCTCTGGGTTAATTATAATTGTCCCGTATTTGATGTACTGGAGGGTCAATGCCCTTGTTAGGTTTACAAATCTAGTGGTGGCAGAACCCAAACCCTTTACCACTATGCGTACTAAACTACCTCCCTTTTGTAACTGGAGTTCCCGAGGAATATAGTGGGAATGTAATTAAAACAGTTTTCCTAGGCTCTGCCTTACTCTGTTTTTGGCAGTAGTCAATAGATTCACAACTCCTATGTTGGAAGGCAAAGACCAATGGGAGGCATATGGAGCTTGTATCCTGTCTGAGACCTCAATTCACATCGTGGTCCCTCACTTGACAACAGGAATGTTTGGTATTTAGTCTGTTGTAAGTAATCATTAGGGTAATGATTCAAATATATAGATTGGCTTTACATACAAGGTAGTGAGTTTCAGTTGCAATAAAGTACCTGAAGTGGAGGGAAAGAAGTGACCTTCACAAGGGAAGGCACACAAGGGAGGAAGGAAAGTATCTTCACAAGGGCAAGGCACACTCAGGGCTTTTGTGAATTGAGATAAAGTACCTGAAAGTGTGTTATGCACAGAGTGGTATGGTTAACATTATCAGGAATGTCTCTTCTCATAACATTTCCCATTGCCCTCATGACGTTCCTTCACGTGTTCCCAAAGAGCCTAACTTCAATTTTCTCTCCCCTAATCTGTTTATTTGAAAGCATCAGGATACTGTCAGGTTTCCCCACTGACAAGAACACTCACATGAGAAAGCAGGAAAGAGCTTCTGTATCAGGACTTTGGGGATGATACCTCCGGGCCAGGGACTTGAAGCGTTGCCACCGTCGGTAGTTCTCATAAACGCTCTTGGGGTTACAGGAGGAGTCATCCAGCGAGGGCCTGGATTGGATAGTGGCCTGGCCTTCCTCCCCAGAAGACCTATGTGGCCCTGACTGTTCCTTCACTTGGGTGAAAATGTAGTCTAGCTGGGCAGCTTGTGGTGGGGACCAACCTCCCCTACAAGCCTGAGTGCCAACAATAGGAGTGGCAGGGATCATTTGCTCCACAGTAGATACTGCCCCAAATAGTTGTGGAGCATGCTCAACAGCCCCACTGGGAATCCCTGCAGCACTCCAATTGAGTGGGGCAAGTGGCATGACAGAAGTCTGAGTTCCAGGGAGCTCTGCTGATCTTCCTTTTGTGCTGACTTGCATAATGACCTTACCAGTCCCAGCTCCACCACAGTCCTCAACTCTTGTCATCAGCAATGTTTTGGGGAAAGATGAGAGCCCCAGAGGGATGCCAGGAGGGCATAATGCAGTTATAATGGGCAGCGGGTGCTGCCCCAATGGTATTTGGTGTGGGGGTCCAGGAGAGGCTAAGGGGAAGGGCAGTGCGGTGAAGGAAGATGTGGAGGCCCGAGAATTCATGATCATATTAGGTCCCAGCCCAGGAGTTACTGTTGAGACAAAGGAAAAGGGACAACGGATGAGGAAGAAAAGCCACCAAGTGTTAGGCCCTATGAATCCCCTGCAAGGTCACTGGGAATCTGAGCAATGAATCTCAAAAGCTGAACAGCACTATGCAGCAGGAAACTGGTGAAGATAGCAACCATCCCTGGGGTGAATTTGATGTTCCTTCCCTCCACTAGGGCAGTTTCCCATTTGAGAACTTGTGAGAATTTCAACCAGATTCCCAGGCCCCTGTCTGCCCAGAAGAAACAGGCCCAAGTTATTTCTGAATCTGAGAGCCTCTGTCAGGAAATTCCTGACAGATCCCTCTGCCAGTCTCCTAAGATGTTTCCAGGACATAGAACAATGTTGACATCCACTGTATCTGAAATGCCCCTCAGGACACTCTTTAACAGGGAGTGGACCTTCACAAGGGAAAGGGACCTTCAGAAGGAGAAGGCACCGTCAGGGCTTTCTTGAAGGAGACAGTCTCCAAAAATGTAGCTTCCACATCTCCTTCTCAGCCTTGTTTTCCTGATGTGCCTTGTCAACCCCTCTGTTTCTTTCCCCAAACTCCTGTCTCATTTGTCTTGTCTGCCACCCAAATCTCCCCAGGTGGGGTATCCTGGGTGGTGTCAAAGGTCTCTCCTTACGCTACTTCTGCTCAGAGAGCTTGTCCTCAGGGGAAGTGTCCAATTTTAATTCCCAAGGATCTCAGGGTTTGCAGGGACTCTGAGAATATACCCCCAGCCCAGCAGGGTACCTCCTTCTGAAGCCATCTCCACAGTCTTGGGCCCTGACCACAGCTGTCTGGTAGCCTCCAGCATGAAAAGCTTCACGTCCTGCACTCAGAGTGTGATGCTCATGAGTCCAAGAAAAGGAAGGAAAAGTTTGAATCTAAACAGGAATGGAATGTAGGACTCCAAACATTCTACAGTGGGGGAGGTGTGGAGAGCAGTTCATGAGGAGATCTGACAGGTGGCAAAACTGAAAGTCTCCTTCAAAAATATAGTCAACAACACAAATTGTGTGGAACTCTTAGGGCGATTTCTGAGATCTTTCAGTAGGAACTTGTAAGCTGATGCTTTTTCAGATTCTCAGGAGAAAGCCTCTGTTGTAACTTCCTTTTTTATTTTTTTATTTGTTCTTTAATATATATGGTATTATGCCCCTAAGCACATCCTGCTTCTTAACTGTAGGGGGTAGGTTCTTGAATTATTTCAGTGGTGCTAGGAGTGGGAGCTCTGGTAGCATAGTGGCTAAGACACTTGCCTGCTAACCAGACGACTGGCGGTTCAAACCCACCAGCCACTCCTCGGAAGGAAGGTTGGGAAATCCTACTTCCGTAGTGATACTGCCTCGGAAACCCAAGGAGGGGTCGCTATGAGTCAGGTATTACTTGACAGCACATAACAACAACAACGTAACAGGAGTATATGAACAAAATTCAGAACACATTGTCTAATGAATTCTTGAGTACATATGGAGAAAAGGAAAGCAAGTGTTTGAAAGTAGGATTGACTGAATAGTTTGCTTGTGTTCAGTGTTTGTATGCATACAGTGTGTGTATGCATCATTGTTTAGGAAGCAGTCCTTATGTCCTGAAACTACTGTCCATTACTGAAAGTTCTAGGTGCTGCAGCATGGCCAGCTTTACTTATTCTTTCCTGGAAAGCCCCACTGCCCCAAAGAAATGTCATCAGCCTCTAATTCCATGACCAGAAGTAGTTTCCTGTTGTTTGTCAGATTATTATGATGTACACAATTATTCAAGTTTCATTTTCTGACCATGATTGTAATTCACTAATTAGGCAAGCATACCACTGCATGATTCAAAAGTCAGATAGTTCCAGATTGATTCTGCAGTGACAACTCCTCCCTGAGTACCTTTGCATTGGCAATTAGTTTTTCCATAAGAGAGGAAAACAGTGTTTTTGTTTCCTTTTCTTCTTTTCAGAGCTACTGTATATGAGTAGGTATAACTAACACAAGCTATAATTTGTTTATCAAAATTGCTTTCTCTTTTTCCTCTTTATATAATTAAGATGTGTCTGAGTAATGTTTTTAGTCACAAATAATGAAGGCTTGTTTGCCCTTTTTCTTTTTGTTTCAAGGTCCTATTTGTATTTCTTTAGACTTGCTTCCTAGACAGAGAATTCTGCATTTTCTGAAACTTCAAATTCATCCTAAGAATACACTCTGTAGGTTTAAAAAATAAAATACAGGACTTCAAGGACACCCCATGTGATATTGGGGACATGCTTCCAATAAATATTATTCCTTCCTTATCAGAAACTCAGAGTTAACAAGTAACCTATATTTTATCTGGCAAACCTACTAAGAGGTATAAAATATTAAGCAATTCACTCTCATAAACAGAATTTAATTTGCGTTTGAAAGGACTGAATTTGAATCTTGGTGATACAAACATAAAGCATATCATCCAAACTAAACCAGAACACCAGTTTCCCAATTTCCCTGCAGGTTATTTTGATGATCTGAGATATTGGTAGTCATCAAACACTCTTGAGCACTTAGGCGTAGCAAGCAAAGGAGGAGATATCAGGGAGGGGAAGGAAAAAAATCTCTTCATCCTGAAGTAAAAGGGCTTAATAAGCTGCAGCCTTGGGGTCTTCATGTTTTACAGGGAGTCCTGTGACATCAAGATGGGTTTCTGCTCACCAGAGTCAAATCCCCTATTCACACACACCTGCTCCCCTGCCACTTGTAGCACACTAGTCTGAACCAGGAAGCCCTAGTTCTCAGCTCCAGCATTACCTTTCTCCATCACACACCCTTGCATGCTCTATGAGTTCAGACTAAGCAATGTACATCCTCATGTATTTGTAAGAATCATTGAAGTATCCTCGTTACAGAGACTGTATTTGAGTATATTTGACTTTTTACTTTTTTCCCCCATCTTGAGCATAATTGTAAGGCTATTGAAATGAAAATTATTTGAAAGAGCACTCAATTTGTTGTTGTTGCAAGAAGAGTAGCTTTATGGGAAAATTGGTAGAGTGAGATAGAGGGTGTCTACCCCAGGTGATTGTGATAATTTTTTTAAAAATGTGGGAGACCAACTTTAATCCTGTTGTCACAGCAGTAGTGGTCTACAGATAGGAGGGTGGAGGGGAAGGAAATAGAGATTTCTGAGTGTTTTCACACTGATAGCCTTCAATCAAAAAATTCCCCTGGTGGTGCTAACATAGTTACTTGATCTGTGCAAGGTATTTTGACTCAAGAGGGAAATGTACAAAACTCCAACAGGCGTCATATTACAGTGGTAAGGCAGAGAATGGGAAGTCAAACGATGAGGGTTTTTCTTTCCTCTTTGGTACAATTATGTGAGAATGTCATTTCATGATGTGGTCCTCATAAACTGCTTCATGATTTCTATCTTTTGTGTTTTATCCAAAGGCTAAACCAGCCAGGATCCAATGAATATTTCTGTCTAAAGCATTGATTGTGTTTGACCAACCACTGTGATAAGAGTAACTCCAGGCACACGGTTTCTTCCACTCTGGAAATTGCCCATACCTTAATTCTCTACCACCAGCTTGTTGCATGCACCTGTCTTTTAATTCTTTCTGGGAGAGACAGTGTACAACTCTACTCACAGTTTAGAAGATAAAGTGAGAGAGATTCAAGAAAAGTCACCCTAATTATATTTTTAGACTACTTATGGTGATCAGTAAAAGCAAAAATATTGGAGACTTTTGTTAGGACTTGAGCTTCTATCCTGGATCAACCTTAAATGATTTTCAATACATTCCTACCTATGATGTGGAAGGTGAGGCAAATCATTGTATCCAGGCAATTAAGAAAGGTAGGCTTGCTCTCTGCTTCTTCTGCTTATGAGTCCACCAGTTCTTTCCCATGATACTCACTTATGGCTTTAAGGCCATGGGATGTGAATGAGTGAGCTTAGGGCCACTGATTTAAACATTGCATTGTGGCAAAATGTTTAGTTCCTGCCCTAGTTCTCCAATCTCTCTCTTTTTAAGGTTTTCTTTCTTTCTTTTTTCTTTAAATTTTATTGTGGTAAAAACATACACAACCTGACATTCACCAAAATAACTACCTCCAAATTTACAGTTCAGGAACATTGATGACATTTTTCACGTTGCTACCTTTTTCCACAGTGGTCCACCAATATTAGCACAAATTCAATGCCACGGAAACAAAAGCTTCCCCCCTTGATCTTCCTCTCCCTGTTGGCAACCCCTAATTATCCTTTCTATATCTCGCTCTCTCTCTCTCTCTCTCTCTCTCTGTGTCTGTGTGTGTGTGTGTGTGTGTATATATATATATATATATATATATATATATATATATATATATATGTTGTTGTTGTTGTTGTTATGTGCCATCGAGTCGGACCCGACTCATAGCAACCCCTCCTTGTGTTTCCCAGGCAGTATCACTATGGAAGTAGATTGCTCAACCTTCCTTCCGAGGAGTGGCTGGTGGATTTGAACCGCCAGCCTTCTGGTTAGCAGTCAAGTGCCTTAGGCAGCATGCTACCAGAACTCCCTCCCTCTCTCTATATGTATATGTATTTTTCTTTTTCCCAAGCTGTGTAGGAATTTTCCGTCTCCTCCACTCCCAACCCTGGTAACCAACAAAGAAAGTTTCCTTACATGTATAAAACTTTCCTTGACTTTTTTACAATAGTGGATTAATACAATATTTGTATTGACTTATCTCATTCAGCATAATGTCCTCCAAATTCATCTATGGTTTGTGGTGTTTTGAAGACTCTACATTATTCTTTAGGGATGCACAGTAGTCCTTTATGTGTATGTACCACAGTTTGTTTATTCATTCTCTGGTTGATGGGCCCTTAAGTTGTTTCCATCTCTTTGCTATTGTGAATAGTACTGCGAGGAAAATGGGTGTGCATATATCTGTTCTTGTCCTGGCTTTTACTTCTTTAGGATATATACATAGTAATGAGATTGCTGGATCAAATGGTATTTGTA